GTAGGTTTTCGGTTTTAAGTTTACTGGAAATCCTGCTTCTTTTAGCAGGCGTAGGGGTAGGAGTTGAAAATTTCGGTCCGCTAAATAAGGGTGGGTTTCTGAAACCTGTGGATTTTTACATAGAAACCTCCTTTACCCCTTCCTTTTGTGTGTCACCCCCGTGTATTTTGAAAGGAGAGACGGCAAAAATGTAAGGGGTGAAGGAGGTTTTTGCCCTTCCGCTTGTATGAAGAAATCTCTGGAAAATAGCATATCTTCCACATCGTTTTTCCCGCTGGGTATAAACATAAGCACACGCATACACACACACTTACAGCCGCACTAATACAGAGGCAAAATGGGTCGCAGCGGCAATTTCATGAGTCATTTAACCGAGTTGTGCGAGAGGCGAGCAACTGAAAAGAAATGAGAGGCAGAAAGGAAGGATCGATGGATGTTGTTTTTTTTCGAACGCCGTTGTCGTATGCCACATGATTATGTTTATGGAAGTGGCCGTGTGTGTATGCGTGCGTGTATATGTATGTAACGGGGGGGCGTTATTGGACATTCATGCCGTTGAAGTGCGCACAAAAACATAAACACGAAATCGAAAAAAATAAAAACTTGCAGCGGATGCGAGTGGCCAGTCTGGGTTTTCCCTTACAGAAATGAGGACACTGAACAAAAAAAATGATTTAATTATCTGGTCATCACTTTTAATTTTTGAAATATAGTTTCATTTTTTATTCATTGATGTTATACCTTGACATTTATTTATACCGTATGTAACGAAGGGATAGAAAAAATTAAGATAAAACAGTGAAAACGCCACCATTAAATCAATTTTTTTCACTGCATGAGCATATCAGTGGTTGTGGGCATTGGTGTGCTCATAAATACAAACAAGAGGCACAAGAAGAAGAATGAGGGGGAAGAGGTGGGCGGGGGTAAACGGAAACACGCAACATTCACATCCCCATTTGGCTTTAATCCCAACCTCATTTCGACATGGCAACGGAATCGAGGAGATGTAGAGGAACATTCAGAGGAGGTTCGGATTCCCAGGACTGACCCAAAAGTGCGGAAATTAAAACATATGTATTTATAGCCATACACTCGGACTGGAGTCTCGTATCTGTATCTCTGCATCTAAATCTAAATCTATCTTCAGAAAGGAGTGGCTGGGGAAGAACAAGATAAGCGCTTGCCCCCCAGCTTTAAAGTGACCCTTATTCGGGGAAAAACCTTTGCAAAAGAAAAGCAACAACTGTGCCAACAAAGTGTGAATCTATTTGGAGGGTGAATAAAAAATATGCAGACAGAAAGAAGAATTTTTTGCAATATACTATAAACTAAGCAAATCAAATGTTTTTTTTCGTTATATAAACTTAAAATTTTATATTATTCATCATTTATTACCCAACCATTTTTAAAACACAGCTCAGTAACAAACTTTTTTCCAGCTTATGGTTGCTTTCTAAAAGCCTTCTCCCAAAGGCTTACAACAAGTTTTCATTCTAAAAATTAGAAAAAAAAAATTGTGCACTGATTACAACACGAGAAAACCTGGAGAACACCAAGTGCAGGCCAAGTAAAGTTTAGTCCTTCTCTCACCACTCCTGTCTATCTTTCTATTCCTGTTGTTGCCGGCAATAATCCGCTTTTCCACGCCCCCGGAAAAGTGGGAGGTTCCATAAGAAGCAGCTGCAGTGCGGTTAGAGTTAAGTGCTTGTAAAATTACAGTTTGTGAGTTAAATGAAATACTTATTTGGGCAAAAAGATACCCAAACTATAAAAAATATAAACCTTAAAGGTTGATAGAAAACGTTTAAATTTATAGAGAAAACAATTCAATGTTCTTCGGTTGTGGCAACGCAACCAATTTAAAACAACTGCCTTTGGTTTTTCGCTCAAGTTGATTCAAGTTATTTGACCCAGAAAGCTGCTGCTTTCTCTTGTCTTCCACCGCCGACTTGTGAGGCACTTAACCACTCGCCGGCTAATCCGAAAAACAGCTTAGCGCGTTAAGTATACGACGTGTTGGGCCAATGACCGCTTCAAAGCGCATTTCGTTCTTTGTGTGTCCGCTATGTGTGTGTGTGTGCTGGTGTGGGTTCTGCTCTATAATTTCATTTTAATAGGAGAAAGAATTCCTCTGTGCTTCCGATGGACTTTTTCCCCTTTCTTGGCCGGTTGCAACTGCTGGCAAAACTTTTAATTTAATTATAGTTCCATCGGTGGGCATTGCACATATGCAGGGTGAAGGGTAAAGAGTTCAGCGCAGATAGAACAGACACGCATAAGACTTTGCGGATTATGGACCGTAATAAATGTCCGTACACACGTTACCAACTGGGCAGGCCTTTGTATTTATACTCACCCGGCCACAGAGGGGCACTTAAACCAATAAGAGTTGAGCGTTGCACTTTTAATGGCGCAATAAGACCCGGCATTTGTACAGCTGTGCTGCAAAAATTAGAAATGGAAGCACCAAAAAAAATATTTTTAAAGCTTTCTAAAGAGTGCTTAGATCTGCAAGGAACTTAATTCAATATTTGCAATAAAACTATTTAATGTTATACTTTAATAAATCACTAAATGAAACCAACTATGATTTAAATATTTTGAAGATTCAAGATTTTTGCTGTTACCAAATAATTTTTAAGCAACAAGTATTTGCAAAAACATTATGGTCCAAGGGACGAGAAATTATTTTACGTACTGTTTGTAAAATTAATTTTATAAGCTATAAATTTGCCTGCAATTGTTTTTGGCTGCAACTTTTCCCATGCACGTATATTTCAATGCTGATTATCTTGGGGCTGCTCAGCTGGGCGAGAAATCTAATAAAATATTCTTGGTGTGGGCAGATTGTGTTTTTCGGCCGATGCAGATGGAAATCGAAGGAGCCCACAGCTTGGCCTTAATTAAGCAATGGCCTGGCCCGAATCAATCTGCTGAGTGATAGACTTTATGGCTGAATCCCAAGAGCGTACGTATTTATGGCAAATTAAGTAAACCGCACGGAACTCAGCCATTTATTAACGCACGGATTTTGCCTGCCGCCTTCTCATTGATTTATCGCAATCGCCTGCTGTAACAATTCAATAACTTTTCGGACCAAAAAAGCCGCAAATAACTGAGAAGGCTAAAGAGAAACGAACAGAGTGAAAGACAATCTGGGGCGAGAGGAGTGCCCCGCGAAATGTATTGCGGCCATAAACTGCAGCAGACCCAGCAGCCAACAACAAGTTTACATTCATGTTTGAGTGTCCGCTGCTTTTTTTCTTCCTTTTGGACCGGGCCAGTTGGCCAACTGACTGATGACGGAACGCTGAGTGAGAAAACCCGGATTCGCTGTATGAAGAGCTTTTCGCTGGTTCTATTAGCATATGTAGTTTTTTCGGTATGGTAGGAAAATAAGCTGCAGGACAAAGAGACGGCAAAAACTGTATTCATAACATATTTGCTTAAAAACACAATCTTTTTTACGAAGTGTATTAACATCATATTAAAATTGCTATAAAATAAAGAAAGGATATTTTCAATCGCAAAGAACAAGCCACTGGTCTCCATTGCATTAACCTCCAATAATTTTCGCTGTTCCAATCATATCACTCACTTTCACAATTTTCGGCAATTCCCCATTGATCGATTACCAATTGCAATCCTGACCTAACCAATCAGACAATCCCCATCTGTTTGATAGATTCATTGCTCGTTTGCTGCGAAAATTCAACTTCCAGCAGCGAACGGCTGCTAATCCAACACAAAACCCAATATGCTAGACCCCATTCCATCGGCATTTGGCGCAACATCCATAAACAGGCTATTAACACCTACGGCTCCGTACAACTGCTGCATTATAATGCGGGTGTGCCACGCCTCCTCCGACGCCCACTTTTAGTGACATTGCAGCTCACAGTATGCCACCGAATGAAATTGCATTTTGCAGTTGCAGCACTTGAAAATGCCGAATTACACATGGATGGGGGACTTGCGGAAAACCTGTGACAACAGGAATGGGGTAAGGGGAAAGGGTTGGAAAAGTCATGCATATGGAAGAGGAAATTATAGGGCTGGACATAATATACGAAGCATTATGATGATGTTGTTGCTGCCGCTGTTGCAACTTGACACGGCGACAACAGCAGCCGCAAACAAGTTACACAGCAAAAAATTAACTGCAGAGTTGGTAACCAAAAAAGTACTTTTTAAATACATTTCTGATATTGGTAAAATACAATAGCTCCGTAATATTTGTATCTCTGAAATAAAGAATTGTTGTTTAATATCAATAATGCATCATGGAATCCATATTTTCATATTTTCTTCTCTGCAAACTTTTGCCGCCATTAAACAATAAAAGTTTTTCGCTTATTGCCCACTTGTCCTTGAGTTTTTTTGCATAAAATCCAGCCCACTGTCCACCCTCAACTTTCCCTCGCTTTTCCGCGAAACTTTTCGTCAATAAAATATGTGTATGTAGCATACTTTGCAGCGAGAAAGGAGCGAGGAAATCGGGGAAATGCAGGGCGGATGTATTGATTTTCCATCAGCGTGCGCTCAACTGTTTAACTATGTGCTAATATTTATTAAAAACGGGCGACGTAAGGCCACACGTAACGTAATGGCACGTAATGTTGTAAGGGCTCTAAATTGATGGCGGAGAAAAAAGGGGGGAAAGAGGGGTTTGCGGAGGCAGCTAGACCATGTTAACCCAGTAAATGTGTGTTAGTGTGTGTTATGTGCTGCAAGGACTCGGCATTCATTATGCCTCCCTTTGGGCTGGCCTACATGTCGTATGATTAATCCCATTTCATTATATTATCGCTTATGCCACATCTCACCCCGCGTGGCTTCCTTTGTCCGGGCATGAAAAATGGGTTTTGACCTTGTTTTATTTGCAGTTAGTTGTAGAGCAGCCAGGATTTGTTTCACTTTTACTTACGCATAATTTATTACGCATTTGTCGGGCCATTAACCCATCCACCCATCCATCCAGAGTCTGGCCATTAAAACAACTCAATTAACAGTTGACATAATATGCTTTAGTTTACTTCTTCAGTTTCGCCTTTTTATTTCCAGTTCTCTCATTCATTCATTCGTTTTTTGCACATTTTAAATTCTTACACTTTTAAAAGATTTCGGTTTTACTCCAGTTTCCCTTTCGTTTTGCTCTTCGGTTTATCGTATTTTTGTGTGGCTCATATTTAATTGAAGGTTACTTTCAAATGTTACGTTTTTGTTTAGCTTTAATAACATTGTTGATTCAGTTTTTCGGTTTTGTGTGTGTAATAAACTAGGTTTTTAATGTATATATATATATAGCTTTTCTTTATATAATAATTTTATAAATACACATTTACATATACAATATTTACTTCAGTTTTATGCGGTCTCTTAGTTTTCATTTCATGTTTATCCATTATTCTGTTTGCTTAGACTAAAAGTATTTCAAGAATTTGTCACAATTCGAAATGCCGAATGAAATTGGAAATTTGAAAAGAATTTTATTGAGCAGAGTGATATGGAAACACCTTGAATATTTAACACACACAAAAGAATATTTGGTGTGCATTTGACTGACGAATATCAACAGTTGACAGTAATTTTGCAATAAATATCGTATAACCATAAAACGCCTCATCAAGCACAATGGGAATTCTAATTTGAATTCGTTTTTTTCCGTTTGTGTTGCCTGCACAATTTAAATAGAAATTACTGGCGGGAAATTTCATATGAATATATATTGAATGTGTATATGCTTTGCTGATATTTTACATGGTAATTGGAAAAAGCTTATGGAAAACCTGTCGGGACTTGGTTTAGTCTGAATACTCATGCTGTAGTTTAATAGTTTTTGTCTGTTATCTTTGTTTATTTTTTATTTATGCTTACTGCTTAGCTTGATTAATGAAACTTTTCGCATTTATTTTCTCTTCTATCAATAGTTTTTTTCTTTTTTTCTGTAACATTTGAATTTATTCTGTTTTTTATGTAGTTCGTTAGGTCTATGTGCTCTATGGCAAAAGTTTGGTGTGATGACAGAAATTAGCCAGACAAAAGCCTTGAGTTCTCAAATGGCAAAGGAAAAATGAAAACGGGAAATGGAAAATGGAAAATAAACCATTGGAAGATGGGTAGAAAAAACACTTGTAACACGTCAGAATAATCATAGAAATTCAACACTGTAGTTAGATGTAAAACACTTCTTACCCAGAGCTCGTTTGATATTTTTTAATGTTTTTTGTTTTTAACACTTGACTAATTTTCGTTCGCATTGAGTAACAACAAATAAATTTGTAAAATGTGCAACAATTTTCCATCTATGCCGATTGTATCCTAAATTCAAACCTTTTTCTCTGCACGTTGGGTAATACTTACGTTTATTCAATTTGTACATTAAACAAGAACGAAACGAAACAACTTATTCGAGGGTTTCTCTTTTCATATATTTTATGACTTAATTTCTAACCATTCAGATGCAGCCAAAAGAAAAATTCTCCCCTCAACGAGTTCTGTTTTTTCCTCTCATTTCGTTTTTTGTTTTTTTGTATGTTTTGCTTTAACTTGTAGCTAAATTTCCCCCTTTGGGCTTAAGTTTCTTTTATATTTTATACATTTTTTTTCGCTTTAACTTCTAGGATTCCTTTTTTTTTTTTTTTTTCTATAGCCTGTACTTGAAGTTGAATGTTTTTAGTTTGCGTTTTGCTAATTGCCTTTCGGTTGAACATTTATCTGTCTATTAGGATTTCGCAAAATGCAAATGAGAATTTCGCTTTGCCTTCGAGGGAACAGTCGCAAAGTGGCAGTCGAGAAGCGTTTCCTGTTCTGGTATTTGCTGGAAAATATTTCCTCCTTGATGTAATTTTCCTATTTCCTTTTTTGTTTTTAATGCAGTGTTAGCTGTTTGCTAAAGAGGAGTCTGTCTGCTAAATTTCTGGCTATAAAAGTTACAAAGGTCGGAGAGAGTCGATCGAAAAAAAGCGCCTCTAGGTTTGCTATGCAGCCTATTTACACAATTTCCAATTCTAAGAGAACCAAAGACTTAGACAGCTTCATTGTATGATACAAAGTCGTACATAAAAAAGGCGACAACTTGGCTTGATTTCGGTATTTTTCTCTATAGTTAAGTAGTACATAATATCCTTTATGTTTTATGTTTTCTGTTTCGGTTTTTGGTTTTAGTTTTGTGCTAAATATTACGTATACGTCGCTGATTCATAGAAAAACGCAATAGCCAATAGAGTTATGTCGTATGTATACTTTATAGTTATTATAGTTACAGCTTACGGTTGAGTTTAGAGTGGCCTTGAGGGGGTGGTTGGGCGGTGAGCTCACCTAATGTCCGCCTCGAAGAGTTGCCTACTCGTTGCCGCCTCCCTTGTTGATTGTAGTTTCAGTTGCTGCGACAGGCGGTGTGGCAGAAGTGTCCTCCTCTGCTGCCACAAGCTTTTCCAGTGCCATCGCCAACACCATCGCCATCGCCAGCTTAAAAGGCTTGCGAGGCAGTGCCGCATGTTGCCTGTTGCAAGTTGAGAATGTCCTGGCGATCCAGCAGCCCCTTCTTCCCGCTGGGCGGCTCGGTCGGGCGGGGGCGGGGGCGTGGCCAGAGCGGAGCCCAGCAGCGCAGCGATCCACCGGCAAGCGCCCAGCTGCAGAAGCACACACACAGGTACACAAACAGACAGCGAATGGGCGAGGGAGGAGGACGCACTGGTGCCGCGTGCTGCATTGCTGCTGGGAACTCCCCTGGAAACGGAATGGGAAACACCTGTTTAATTTACATCTTTATTGCTGTCCTTATACTCAGACATTGGGGTAACTGAAAACTAGTTAACAAGTTTGTTTTGTGAAGTGTAGATGGGTGTGCAAAGGGGGAAATATCAGCAAAGTTGGTGATATCTCAAAAAATTATAATATTATATGATAATTATAGTATATATAATATACCTCATAGGTAAACATGTTTTTAACCCAAATATTTAACTCTTCTTGTGCTTAAACTTTAACCACTTTCCTTTAAACTTACTTTAAGGATTCTTCACCGTTTAAAAAGGCTAAAGGTTACCCCTTCTTCAGCCAAATTCCCCGCCTTAACGCCACATAATCCGGCAACACTAACCGGATTACCAGCTTCCACAAAAGGGCAGTGGGTGGTGGCATCCGAGAGGCTGTCAAACAATAAAACTGCACAGATAAACCGAAAGCGTGAAACAATACTTGGATTGTCACAAAAGTCAAAACAACAAGCCGGCAAGCAGCCAAATAAAACTAACAAAAAGAATCCTTCGCTCTGCGGCTGGAAATAAAGGCGACGGCAAATAAAACCAGTAAAACTAGTGAAAACGTTGACTGTTTACAACTTTGGCGAAACAGATCCGAGAACAAAAGCAGAAAATGCACCTGTAACTTGCAGCTCGACTTTGCAAACACAAAAGCAGAAAAGACTCTTTCGAGAAATGTGAGCACGGCTTACTTGGGTCAGAATTCCTTTTATAAAAATGCAAAATGCTTGCGAAAACGTTCAAATGTTTTTCAATAAATAATTCAACAAGAACTCAATTTATTTAGCGCGAGAAACAACTGTCACAAAACTTTCTTCTCTTCTTTTACTGGAATTTTTAATTCCCCATCAGCAAAGTGAAGGCATCAAAAAAAAGTTTATGTCTCTCCTTAATATCCTTTTATGCACTTAAAGTAGCAAAACATTGTTGATGCAGTGCAGCTGGCCAGAATCGAAGTGGAATGAAATACACAACATGCACTTTAAGTCCTTCATTCTTCGAGAGAAAATGAAAGCCAGAAAGTCGCGAAAAGTCGGAAAGTCTGGGGACAAGCCAGACCGAAAACACTGACCCCATTGAAGTCGATGTCGCTGGTGATGCGGCAAGCCGAGCAAGAACACAATTCCCCTGACTCTCATTGTCGCTCTATAGTGTGCCACATATATACAAACCAGTATATTATGCCACATATATACAAGCCCGTATATGCATTAAGGTAACAATAAACAATAAAAAGCAAAGTAATGCAAAGAGTAAGCACAAGATGGGCGCGGAGGAGTAAAAGTGGAAAACTTTGCACTGCAACGCGATGACAACAAAAGCGGAATGCCAGCAGAAATAACAGCAACAGCAACAATAACAACAGCCGCGTTGACGGGCGTATAATAATAATAACAAACAGACAAAGCAAAATGTAACGGCTAACAACAATGGTGAAAGTGGCAGAACAAGAGACAAAACATAATAATAATCAGAAACAAGTGTGCCAAACCAGTTAACGGAAACAACGCGCATTGCATGCGCAATATGCTGACGGGGATGAGAGCCCCTCATGCAGAACCCCAACACACGTAAACACTGGGAGAAAAGAAATTAACTTAAAATACAACATAAAAAAAATGTTCCCAATTAAATAGTTATAACTATTTATAACAAGATTCTGAATGTAATTATCAAGTTTCTTTTAAAGACCCTCAAAAGTATGCTACAAATTATTTAACATCCAAAACGCCATTTTGAATTACTTCCACATAAAAAACATTAAAGAGGTCCTAACTTGTTCTTAAATACAATACACTTTCATTTAAGAACTATTTAAAAAGGGTAGATTAATAATATTCATATATTCTTGCTTTTTTGGTTTTGAAGCACATTAATATTAAATGTTTTTCTCAGTGCCTGCATAATTGTGTGTGCTCGGCGAAAGGACAACGCCGTGTGACATTATCTAGCAGACACGGTAGCTGCGACAACGACGACAACTTGACATTAGTGAAAGTCGCAAAGGAAGTAGCGTGCAGCAACTGCTGTTTTAGCTTTTCCAGCTTTTCCTGCTACCGCTGTGAGCGTTTCTAGACATTCAGAGAGGGAGAAGCGTAACATAAACATAATTTTCATGTGGCACGCGTGCCAGATTCACCAGAAGGCCAAGACCCCAAACTTTGCAAGAGAAGTGCATTTAAATACTCTACTTTTGATACTAAATTATGTGAAAACAAATATATAAAAATAGTGTTTATTTGATAATGCTGTTGTTAATTATAAACATTATTTCCCTTTGAACATTTCATATTATTAACCATCATATATATTCAATAGTAAAATCCAAAAAAGATTAAGTAATTTTTCTCTGTTTATAGCCCTCTCTAGTTCCATTAGACGATATACACTTACAAATACCTTTATAAAGTTCACATGCCCCTCGAATGTTGGAATGCCCCTTGAATTTCAGATTTTACCCCCCGGCTAGATTCGCTCGGCAAACGTTGATGGCTGCCAGAGTGGTTGGCTTCAGACAGGAGCAGATGAGGATAAATGAATGGGGGGCTGCGAGGATAATGATTATGCAACAGGGGCAAGGGGCAAAAGAGGGGAAAGAAACTGTCGCTCCATTCCCTATAATTTTCACGTGCCAATTTTAGCAGTTTTCACTTAGCTGAGCTCTCGTCTGGTTTAACCCAATGTACGTGGAAAAATTGAAAATAGACAACTCCCCGCTATTCCACTCCCCATCGTTTCCAACTTGTTAGAAGAGTCGATCCACTAATCAATATTTGCCCATTGGCTTCCGAATCGATTCGCTTACACTCTTCTGTTGATGTTTTCACTTAGTTCGGCTGAGTTTAAACAACACTTTGTTGCATAGTTATTGTCACCTCTTCGTTGCTCACTCACTATCTCCTCCCCTTTGGATTTCCTCTGCCCAGCGGCACTCTGTGGCACCATGTTGTGCTGCGACCCTTTTCAGGTTGCCCCGGATCTTTCTGGGCTTTTGTGTCACTTCTTGGGCTGCCCGAGGAGCTTTAGCAGCTGCAATTTCTATGGCTGCCTTTGGACGGATTTCAGCCATTGATACGCTGACTCTGGCCTGTTCGTTAGTATTAACCGCTCTCGGGGGATTTGGATCTCGGTTTTTGGTCTAAGAAGGGAATTCTTGAGAAACTGTCACTGCTTAACTCGGCGGGGCACTAGACTTAGCTATTGGTATCTAATAGTGTTTGGTTTAAAGCGCGCTCAAATTAAAATAGTGTTTACTTCTACGCTTAAGTAATCCTAAAAACCTCTTAGGTTTGTTTAATGGCTTCTTAAGACAGCCATGGTAATTAATTAAGACCTAAATACTGAGGTACTTCGCAAAGTAGTTACAAAAGTGTTTTTTAGTTGGAATACAAACTTCAGAATTCAATTAAACGTATCAAATAGATAAAACAAAATAAATATAAAATTATTTATGTTGAAACTCTATAAAAAATACATTTAAAATGTTTTGTCATTCTTTTAATAGAAAAATTCTGCAATTAAATTTTACTTTTCCCAACCTGCCACACAAGCAATGCAAATGCAATTTAAAACCTTTTGTCTACACCATTAGTTCATTTCGACTTCTTCTTTTATTTGGATGCACTTCTATTATTTCTCTTTTTCAGACCAAAACTTGTCGTGTAACCCATCAGCATTCCTTTTTTAGTTCACTTTTTTGCGCAGATTCATTTGGCAAATCCCCCATTTTTTGTGCACGACCCATTGTTTTATTGGCTGATGTCCTGTGGCCAAAATGGAGTGGGGGTATCTTGTCGTTGATTTTACTTACCATTGAGCACATGTACCGTGACGCTCTTGGGCTTCGCATTTGATGGATTACACTGATAATGCCCCGAATCCGATGGACGCGCCGATTTAATGAGGAGGAAGGAGGTGGTTGTATCTCCCTTATTGGTGACCACCGAAACTCCTCCGCGCGGCGAATCGTAGTTGATAATCTGCGGATGAGAAGGAAACTTCTGAAAGTCATAAAATATTTTTCTACACTTTCATTCGGCTGAAGGGGTGAGGGGGAATGAGCCCTACAATTTTCTAAGCCATAAAACCGAGTCCAGATTACGCATACGCACTGTTGCACACTTGGCAAATTAAAATCAGTGGGCGGAGATAAGACGGAGAACCCGGAAAAATATGCAAAGCAAGGAATGAGAGATTGCAAATAAAACCGAAGCAAAACAATAAAATTAAATCTGTTCGGGGAACAAAAAACAAAAAAAAAACAGAAGAAAAGAAGGAAGAACTCCGGGCACTAATGGCAATATTTTTTTCCCTTTCTTGTTGCTGACTCTATAGAAAATACATAACAATAGAGGACCGTCAACCCTTAAAGCCCGATACAATAAGCCAGGGGCCAAGGCCTGAAGTGTGGGTAAAACACCTAAAGTGGAAACTAAAACGTGGTTCGTTCCAAACAAAACCAAAATCCATTTAAAGCCCCAGCCAGAACCCTTTTCCCCAAGCTCCGTTTCCACTTCCTCCCTTAAATGGCATTTCCTAATATATAAAAAAAAACGCCAAAACGAGAAAAGGAAAGTTTTCGCCCGACAAAGCTAATTTAAAAGTTACTAAATTGAACACTAAAGGGTTCCCAGACTTTCGTGGGTTTTTCGCAATGGGGGAAAGGAGGGGAAGCGATAATGACGCCCCAAAGTAATTGCGTGTCCTGGAAAATGGAAAATAGCAGGGGAAAGAGGGCATTGGGGAACTCCAACTTACAGCATTATTATGATTCCAGAAGATATAGGCTGGCGGCTCTGGTGAGTTTTGTATGATACAGGTAAGATTTATAGTGGAACCACTTTCTATATACAAATCGGGTGCCCCGATGATTTCCGTTGAAGGTTCTGAAAAGAGAAAAACGACGAAAGGCCGCCAATTAAAAAGGTGGAATTAAAAGAATTTCGCTGTGAACGTAACAGGAAATAAAATACCAATTAGCTAAGAGGAAGGACTCTTTTGGGTGATTCTGGGTACAAGATTCCAAGGAAGTCCATTCTTGAGTGGCACTGAAAGGGGAAAATTATGTTCATCCAACGCAATTGAAATGCGCGAAAGGTGAAATGGAAATGTTTTGCCTTTACACTTCGTTCTTTTGTAATTTAATTCAATTCGAGTTTAATGCGAAACTTTTGCATCCCAAGAGGGTGAAGGCGACACTTTTAAAGGGTGGCTCTGTACAAAAGGAAAGTTTAAGATTCCAGTAAAGTGTAAAAGTTAATGGTAAAGATTGGCTTACTCTTAAGCAAGAAAAGTTTTAAAAACTCGTTGCGAAATAATGCTAGTAATAAATACTTAATGCTAACTAAGTATAAATAACTTGTTTTTCTTAGTCTAGGAAAACATTAACATTTTATGAGATGTATTGCAGATTCTCTTCATTTTTGGTTAATAAGTAAACTTATATTTTCTGTACTTACCAACGACATTCAGGTGAATGTAGTGACTCATGTGGGGCGTGGTCGAAACCTGGCACTCGTAAATGCCGGAATCGCGATGTTGCGGGTACTTGATTTGCAGCATCCAGTCTTCGGTTTGCGGCTGATGAATGGCTCGAAAGCGCTGATCCGAGGTGTATGTGTATCGGCCAACTGTTAGCAAATGTATATCCCGATGTCGCACCCACGACACCTGAAGCAACATCTGAAATGATTTGGAGAATGGCGAAACTTTAGCAGAGGAACTTAAGATTTCAGATTTTATTTGTTTGCCAAACAGTTTAAAAAGTCGATTTCAAACGCAGCTGCCTGAATGAACCGTGCTGAGGGGTTTGCCCTTTGTATAAAAGTCACACGTGTAAAATGCAAATTTATTTTGAAATATTGTATATGATTTTTTTTTAGATTTTCCCCTGCCTGGCATTGTGTTTGGCAAAGAAAACTTTGAGAGGCAGGAACGAGGCTGAAGTGAGACCTTTGTGAGACAATTTGAATTGAATTTAACAAGGGCGGACACACATGCTGATACTGAGAGAAATAAAAATCAATGGAGAAAGGTTTTACACATTTAACTTACTAAATTAGTTATTACTGTTTGTTAGTGGCTCGAAAAAGTTATGGAACAAAGTAGTAATCTACAATTTGTATTAAATCATTCAATTTAATCAAACTATGTACTTTATCTTGTTACGAATATTTTCCATTATATGTATAAAATTAATATTCAATTCTAAATATTTATATAACAGCATTTAAACATTACACTTTCTTGCTGCAAATTAAATCACGCCTCTAATTCCTTTGGCAACCACCTGCCGCGTTTTCAAGGTTTTCTCGCCCAAAGGAGCAACATTTTTGAGCAAAGTGATTTAGGGTTGCCTGGGGCAGGTGGATGGGGTTCAAATTCGAGTGGGCCAGTGCTGAAAGGGGGGGAGGACACGCCTGGCCGTGTTGCGTGTCATACGTCAGCTGCTAGCATTTTCAATTTCAATGACAACAGCTTAGCAACATCCTGCCTAACGATGAACGAGGACGACTTTGCCAAAGTTAATGGACAAGAAATTCCCGGCCGGAAGGAAGGGGGCGCTATGAACGATGATAGGTCGGCAAAAACGGGGCAGCGGGCCAAAAAGGGGCGCAGTGGGCGTGGCCTGGACCAGGTGTTAGTTGCCAGACACAAAGGTAAACTTTGGCAGCTGCTTAAGCAAAGTTGCATGTAATTAACACCTAAAGTCTGCGAACAGTGATACCGAAGGAGTGGGCCAACAACTTTTCCCCTCTTTCTCACAAATTTCCACGGGTTTTTCCCGCTCTGCTGAACTTTTTATGCCCATAAAGCTTGTTTACAGTATCGTAAAATTTTAAGCATATCAATATTTTCATTCATTTACTGCTTGCCAAACGAACATCAAAGTCTGTAAATATTTTTTTACTGCTCAATTTGTGAAGCCGAGAAATATACATAAATTGTGAAAAGAAATTTACTTTGATTCCAATTTATCTAATGAAATGTACATCTCAAAATTCAAAAATTTGGCATGTTAGTTGATTGATTTTGACATAAAGTAAAATCTTTTAAAATTAAATTTCTGCAATGAGTTGATAGACAAGTGGGTTTATGTGTATGGATCAAACGAAACTACTCAAAAAAAACTCAGTAAAAATAGTGAAATCTCCTTTATAACGTAAAAGTAATTATCTATCCAGTGTAACCTCCTTCTTTTTTTCTCTTAAATGGTCTGCATTTTTCTTTAGAATTTCCTTCTTTCTGTATGTGGCTGGCAGTAAAGCATAAAGCTTTTCCCGAGCAGAGCGCAAATGAAAAACGTCATTAATAATGCAGGGACCATCAACATCCGTTCGCTGTTTATCATTATAGACGGTGTGAAGCAAAGAGCACACGTATACACACACATACACACACATACACACGTATACACACACAAGCATAAAACAGAAGGATTTTTTCTTTATCTTTTTCCCCTGGCATTTTCGCATCGCACAAGCTTAATTCTCACCCAGATGCTGCCAAATCTCAGCAGCAATGATGTATTACTTCAGGTGGAAGGGGGTTGCGGGGTGGAGAAACGGGGAGGATGGGGAAACCTTGGAGGAAAAAACGGTCGGAAATGGGTGGCCTTTGGGTGGGCTTGTGGTTCACCACAGAACTGAAAGCTAATTAGATTTTAAGCTGCCACACGAAGGTAATGAATATATTTTACAGGTTGCCTAATGGGGTTGGAGTTTTTTTTCGAGGCTGCTGACGAGGAAGAAATGGATATTTTCCTTAAGCTGTCTGGTAAATAGCCTTTTATGGGGGATATAAGGTCTCAAGATTATATAAATTACGCACAAATGCTACTCAAAAATGTATGAAATTTGTTTGCCTTTTGGCGTAAGTCATTTTGTTAAAAGTTATAATATTTGAAATTTAAAATACCCAATTTCACACAGAAGCCTAAGACAAAATCACGCAACTGTTTATTACCTAATATTATAGTTTTCAATAATCACCTAATTGAAAGTTATTTCCGGTTATCCAGTCTAAGCACGTACACTTTATGCAATCAAGTTCACAACTCTGCAGAGTTTGTCCTCTTATTAATTAACTCCTTCTCCAGATGACATGGGAACCCAGAGATCGATGAAGTTATCCCACTTAACACGTCTAATGAAGTTATCCCTGGGAAAGGACTCCTATCCACATCCTCTCGCAAGAAACTTTCATATCGTCCTACCGCAAGGTGAAGAGTATTTAGCCTTCAGCCCACTCGATTTCCACTCCCAAATTGAGGTTGCCTGCGTGCCCTTTCCCATTTTCTACAATTTAATAATCACGCAAATTAGTTTTCGAAACCGCAACTCAAACAAGCCAGAAGCCCAAAGCTAATCACAGGCTGTCGGAAAGTTCGGCGAAAAATGGGAGCACCCATGGGTGGTGCATGCCTAGGATTCCGGGATATGTAACATATTATTATCGGAAAAACGGGCAGGGACCTTCTCCGGTCGTCGACGCCGCCGGAAGTGAGGAAAACCGAATGACTACGGCCTGGAAAAACCAGGACTGAGCTCCCGCCGAGAACCCGGAACACAAAAAACAAAAAGAAGTTTGGGGGTTTTTTCCGACATTTGAATAGTTTCTTTTTGCTGGCACCACCCACTAAAATTCAGGTGGCTGAAGGCCTTAACCGGAAGTGGAAGTGGTGGTGGTGCTGGTTGTTCTGGTGGTTCTGGTGGAGATTGGGCTTGTGAAATGTTTGCGGCACTTCCTTCCGCTCACGACGAAAAGTTGAATAAAGTAAAATCTGTTTCCTGTTTGGGTATAATTAATCATTTTGTTCTTTGGCAAGCGGAACAATTAGCCAGCAGCCCCAAAACTCCGCCTCTTCCGCCTTCTCCTCCCCAAAAAAAAAGAACAAAAAAAGAAAACTCTATCCGCCATGTGGACCCAGTCAACGTGCTAATTAGCCTGCCAAAAAAAGCGAAACACACAGTGGGACAGCCACTCAGCCACAGGCACAAATCGCAATTTGATGGCAGCGACAAAGGAATTACACGATAATTACAAGCCAAATTGACAAATGATGGCCCAACATTTGAGTCATGATTCAGCAAAGGAGTTGCAAACAATAAATTAAAAAAATTGTTTAACCCCTTTTCCAATTTCAAATTAATGGAATTAAAAAGGGGAAAGTAAATATTAAAATAATGAAATACCACCACTTTCTTCTCATGTTGAAATTATAAAGAGTTATTGATTTTGCAAATATACATTTCTGAGGGTGGTGTTTACTTTACTTTTTACTTTCGTACTTTAATTCCCTTTTCAATTATTTAAAGCATAAAAATACTATTCCATTATCGTCTTTCCGGTGTCCCAACTCAATAAACTTATTTCGAATGCATTCTCCTGCTATTACTCACCGTCTTATTGCCAAGGTTCTTGACGCGGCAGTTCAAGTAGGCCGTCTTGCCCAGCAGCGCGGTGACGTTCTTCGAGAAGGCCTTGTCGAAGTAGGGACCCGCATTGCGGGCTTCCTCGAGCAGGTCGATGCTGTTGCGATGGAAGCCGGATGGCATCTGGGCCGAGAACGAGTTGCCGCCGGCGGAGCTGCTGGCCTTGTGCAGACTGCTGCTGGGAATCCCGGTGACGGTGGTGGAGCCTCCTCCTCCCACTCCTCCTACGGTGGAACTGCGACTGGCATCGGTTGTCAACGCACCGGATTCGGAGGTCACAACTGATCCGCCAGCTGGCTGGGCATTTTTGCCATTTCCGCTGCTATTGTTGCCGCTTCCGCTTCCGGCAACACCACCAGTGTGGCCAGCTGCCTCGGTCGCTCCTGCCGCCGATGATCCTCCCACTCCTTCGTTGGGCAGCGCGTTGTTGCTGCTGCTCACGTCCTTCGATTTGTACGAGTCACGCTGGGCGGCGGAAGCTGCAAGAAACAATGAGTGGCAGATTAGCAAGTGCTGAAATCTCGTGATGTATTTCACAAAGTGGAATAGTTCGTGATTTAAGTAAGTACATACTTTTGTTAGGTACCTACATTTGTTCTTATGTAAATGATTTTTATATAACAAATAAGTAACCCAAAATTCAGCTTAAAAAACTTTTAAAATATAAAGAACCTTTTGAAAAGGATATGATTAAGTTATATACATATTTGGGATTCTAATGTTAATTTAAATTTTTGTTGCTTATCAAATTTCAAAATAAGGTATTTTTTCTATTACACCTTTTGAAATAACAATTTTTTTTTCATTTTTGTTTTGTAAGGATTTTAGCATTACACTCAAAAACCATACATACATATTTTTAAGACTTTAATTCCCTAAAAGCTCCCAAAGTTGTTTCTAGTTGGCAAATGTTTCAAATTCAGAAACTATGCCATAAAGTCCTTCAATCGATGGCCATAACAACCAACTGGAAAACCGAATGGGTGAAACCTTGTAACTCGTTTGGCCAGAACTTTTAACTGCAAACAAGCTGACTCCCAATACCGCCACCTTTTGTGGCAGCCATTTAGGTAATTAGCGTATTACGCACACACACACACACACACACCATCGGGGGAAAAACACGTTAACAACTTTTTCGGGCAAACCAACAAAGTTGTCGGTTCTCTCGCAGGTAAACCGAACTTTCTGTTTTGTTCTCTAAAATTTTTCCGGATTTTTTGTTTGTTCACCATTTTTTTGTTTATCAAATTTTCATGTTTTTGCCACACAGCCCCACGGCAAGTGAGGCAGCTTGTGTGGGCAAAACGGTTGTTGTCGTAGTTACGACCAATTTTTATCCGGCATTTATCCATCACTTAGCTGCGAGGACGCCACTGCGTCTGGGCCAGAAACTAAGCTCCCCCACACAGCAGCGCTCGCTCTTGGCCCGGCTATATCTCCGGGCACTTGATACGCTTATTACGTCGCAGCTAACGTCTTTTTATGACACTCTCCTCCACCGGTTTTATGGAGCAAGCCATGGCAGGACTGGCTAGCGACTTTATTAGATTAAACATGTTGTGCACGTCGCGCTGCGGAAAAGCAGTCGTCGAATGGGCCAATGTGGCGATACCAGTGACTCGGTCACTGTGAAAAGTCACTGAAAAGTCACTGCATAGAATATAAAAAATCAAGCACTTTCCTTGTTTTTGAAAATATTTTTCAAAGATTTTGTTTTTAGTTTTAATATAGAACAAATGCAAAGATAAATCAACAAGTTCGATGTTTCAAGATCACTCTTGAAACTTAATAACTAAAAATTAGAAAAATTCAAGAAAAATATATTATAGATCATATGATTTACTACCATATTTACGGCTAAGAAAAACATATTTTTGTTTTCCAGGATTTTCAAAACTTTCCATAATAAATCTTTGATAACATGGCATAAACTTGAAGAACAAAATCCTACGATTTGTAAAGTTCTGGTCACGTAATATGCGATTCAGCTCATCGCCAGTTAGCACACATCCTTACATGCATGCTTCCCTTATCTCTCCCAGTATATCTCTCTCTTTCTATTGTATGTTGCCGTCTCTATCCCAGTTTACTGCCCGAACTATTAGCTGAGCATCAGCTTTGGCCCGCTGGCCATGTTCCCAGCAGATAAGTCGAATATCCTCCATCATCTGCTTCGGCTTCAACTGCTTCAGCTTCAGCTCCGGCTCCGGCTTTACCGTTTTCCTTCCCTCGGAGGTTTTCCTTCTCCCGATTTCCCCTTTTTCCCCGACTCCGCATCGTTTTCTCTAAGCTAACTGCTATTGACAGCCAAGCGGTCGGAGCCGTCTGCATTTTGGCCCTGCTCTTTGCTCCGCCGGCTGGCTTCAATTGGCAAGACCCAAACAATGTTGCTAATAACTTGACTCCACCCCTTGTCTGTTGCGTGGGAGTTTTTGGTGTGGAGGGGGCGGTGGGAAGGGGGCGGGGCCTGGGCCAACATGATAATAAATAAAACGCCCCTGGCTAGAAATTAAAATAAATTGACTGCCTGGGACAAAAGACCGCAACGTCAACTGTTGGCTGCCAAACATAAATTAGACCACTAACAAAAATATTTCTTTACGTTTTTTTCGGTATTATAATAACCATGTGGAGGGAGGGATTATTACTTGGGAGAATAAGTTTATGTGTTCATAAAAAATAAATAGATATCCTTTCTAAGAAACAAGTAATTTATTTCATGGGTAATAGTACAATTAAAATTTATTTAGTGATTTTATTACTCTTTTATTTAAGCATAAAATAGCTAAACGTCTATCTTAGATATCAATAACATCTAATCTTTTCCTTTACTGTGCTTTATGATCTATAAATTTTGCTTAAAAAAAAAAGAATTTTAAAAATATTATTAGTTATTTAGTTAAATCTTTTATGAAGGGTATTGGAAGTATCTTTTTCCGTTACTTCAAAGTTTTTCTTTATTTTCGGTTTTGTTTTGGCTTAAAAGCGCCCTGCAGGAATCAGAAAGTCATGTTGCGAGGTCGCAGTTTCAGTTTCAGTGGCAGTGGCAGTCGCAGTCTATGCCGTGTTCATGTCTCGTGTCCCGAGTCCTGCGTCCTGAGTCCTGAGTCCTGAATCCTACGTCCTGCGTCCTGAGTCCTGAGTCCTATGTCTTATGTCCGGGTTTGTTACGTCGACGTCAACGTCAGTAACTTGAACACAAGTAGACCGCAGGGCATGTTCCTGTTGCTCATCTGTAGCCTCGTCTTTGCCTTGTTCTTGGTCCTTGTTCTTGCTTCCGGTTTCCCCAATCTCCCCGTCTCCTTCTCCCATCTCCACACACATCTCTTGTCACTTTCGGTTGGCCCGCGTGGCTTGGTGAAATTTTACGCCCGCACAGTTATTATTAACAAGGGGGTTTCTCTGCGGTTGTTGTTGTCAGAAACATTTGAAATGTCAAAACTTTTAGCTCCCTTATGCGTGTGTTTGTCTGTTCGCCAAGGTGAAAACCATCAGAAGGAAGAAATAAACGACAGTCACGCTTAAATTTTTAAATTCACTTAAAAAATTAAAAATCATTTGTGCGCCCCTAAACGATTTGCAAAGGAATTGTGTATTTAAATATTTAGAGGTTTCCATTTGTCAAGAAGCCTTAAGCATTGTTTGCGCGGCTTTTATCCTGATTCTGGCTAAAAAAAAGAAAAAAGTTCCTGGACCCTCCCTCCTTCTCTTTTTTGTTCAATTTGGAAGGTGATTTTTCTTTGGAATTGCACGAGGCGCTGCTAGAAATCGGCCACAGTAATTTGAGCCGCAGGTTAATATTGTTGGTTAGCCTTGGCCAAGCTTCAATGGCCGCGAGATAACTTTTCCTTTTCCCTCCTCTTATTTTCTTTTCTTTTCTTGACTTCACTGAGTAACAGATGAACTGAGAATAGGGACAGCTGCTACTTAGATAAAAAACCGCAGTAAATTCGGATAGGAATAAATCAAAATATGTTTCAATGCCTTAATAATAAATCATTTTTGTGGAGAACTGCAAAAGTTAAAAGTATGTAATATTAATTAAAATGGTTTGTGAATAAATGAAGGCTTCCCTGAATTGATTTTCCTTCAAAGCTGTAATCTAATTTGAATATCCCGTGGCATGTTCTTTATCTGTGAATCTTTCTTACTCTGCCCACGAATGCCCGGTTCATTAGGGCCTAATGATGATTTAACTCCTTCGCGGCGCTAATCCTCTGCCTCGGCACTCGAATTTGGCCCAAAGGCAGGCAAGTCATTAAGTCAGCGCACGGCATATGAAAAATGAAAGTCAAATAGCCAAACAGAATGCCAACTCACAAACACTCACACGTTTTCTGCTCGAGGCTCACACCCACGCAATCAGGTCTTGGAATTTCTCCACCGCCTGGGAGTTCCTTTTGGCCTGGCCAAAACATTGATTTCCCAAGACTTTTCAGACACACAAAATTAATTACCTAACCTAAAAACGCAGCCCACAAGGCAACAGAACACAGAAAGCAAAATAAAATCAGAAGAAAAAAAATAACAGCAAAAATTATGTAAGAACGAATTGCCGAGCCAACGTGGCTTACTTTCGTTTTTCCAGCCACTCGATGCTGATAGATTTTCCCTCTTGATTTCCCGGCTCGCTTTGATTTGGCCCGCTTTTTCTGCTGACTCATTTGGGCATGACAACGGCCAAAATGAATGATATCGAAAATCGAAATCAATAAATGAAATTGGTCAAATCAATTTGGCAACAATTGCACTTTTCTGAATGGGCCACACAGAAAAAAGGAAACTGGAGCACAAAATTTGATTAAAGTTTTCGTTTTTCCCGTTGTTGGTCTTGTGCCGGTCGAAAAAAAACCATGGAAATTGAAAATGAGCTTGGCTTGTGCGGATAATGCCAAAACTGTAGCCAGAATCAAGCTTTCCCGAGTGCACCTTTCAGTTGCAATGAGTTTTGGATAGTTTTTAGGGCAGTGAATAACTAAAATTTGGGTTCCCTTATGTGAGTGACTAGACACTCAAATACTTAGAGTACTAGAGTTTAGTGGCAACTATAAAAAACATGGAATTAAAAGTTTTGTTTTTAAAAGAATATTAATCTGCATTTGTTGTATATTGGAATTTCAAAAAAAAATAATAATTTATAAATTGTAAATATGTTTTAGTTTCTTGTCAATAATTTTAAGCTTGCTAAGCTGTATTAATTAAGATGGTTTTAAAGATAGCCCTGATTTTGATTATAAATATTTACTCTTCTAAACAAAAGTTTGAAATTCTAAAAATGCAATTTTTTAAAATGAATAATGTGTTCATATGAAAAATTCTAAAAATGGAATTTTTAAATATGAATAATGTGTTCATAGTTTTCCTTGAGAACTACATTTTTCAAAATGTTTTCTTTAGTGTTTGACTCACCTCCATTGCCGGATATCAGAGCGATGACAACGACGAGCATGCTGAGCATTATCAGCGCTCTTTGGCGGCTGCAGCGGTCCACGTGGCGGATGATGTTGCAGCTGGGACCGCCGATGTTGCCGATGTTGCTGCTTCTGTTGCTGGTGTTGCAGGTGAGTGGGTTGCCGGCGTCCCTGTCGGCGGTGGATTGGCAGCTGGCTGGGCCAAGTCTTGTGCAATCCGTGCCGAAATGCGGTGGGTCAGAGGACGCCAGCTCTGGATGTTGTCGTTGTCGCCTGGCTTTGGATGTTGCTACTGCCACTCCTGCTGCTGCTGCCACTGGTCGTTGCCTTAAATTCGTTCGTTGCTGCTGCTGCTGGCGCATTTCCATTTGAAAAGTTGCCATAATATTTCACTTGTGAGCGCGGTGCCACCCCCTGCGCTCCACTTGGCTTTTCCCTTCTTTCCGCCTTATGTCCTTCCTTTCCTCTTTCGCCTTGGGAAACCTATTTGAAAATGTGTTTGCGGAATAACTGGGGGGCGTGGCTGGGGGCGGCCTGATTAGCGCCTGCCGTCATCATCATTCCGCCGCGATGCGTGAAATTGCCGCAACAACAACAGCAAGCCAAAAAAAAACAAGAAAGAAATGTAGGAAAATCCACTTTTGAATTTCCCGCTAGGATGTGGCCTTTTCGTAGTTATCCTTCCGTTAGTTCTGTAAACTACTTTGCATTTGTTCTGCTCGACAGAGGCTGACAAATCGCCGCCATTTTTCCGGCGATTTATATTCTATTTAATTTCGGCTCGAACACAATTTCACTTCATCTTCATTAGCCGATTGCTGCCCAGCCAGGATTGCAGGATGCCGGGATTCAGCTGTCTGCGGATGAGAAGGACAACAAACAACAGTTTCGGGGCGTTAAAAATGTTTGGAATTTCATTAAAAATTCAAACGTCAAAGTCAAAATAAATGGAAATTTGTGTGTTTGTGTTGGTGACTCGGTCGGCACGTGCTGTGTTGTCCCTGCCACGAAAAAATACCCAAAAAAAACTCCGAACATCCTGCTCTTTCCACCTGAAACAAGGACTTATTTTCTCGGTCTATATGTATTGCAATATCTGGTGGCGCGTGGCTCGCCTGTCTTGTTGGATTGGCTCTGTTTGCTTTATGAATGTGTTTCTGTAACTGGCGACAACAGTTTTCCCTCTTTTTTTTTGGGTCCCACCCAAGAAATTGGCGAGGATGGAGCTGAAATTCACGCTGCGTTGGCAATTTCGTAATGTGATTTTTATTAAAGGCAACAAATAATATATTAAATGCGCCAGAGGCTGAATTGAGGAATTTCTAAATTGCCGAAACGTTGAGAAAACAAACACAGATAGGAATTGTTATGCAAAATATTATGGGGAACGAGAGAAATATTAATTTGAAAAAAATAATTCAAAATACCATTGAACTTTTCAATGAATTTTAAAATAAAATTTTTACCCCAACAAAATTGTTTCAAATAAATCAGCATTGCAATTTTAATATATTATGTTAATAACAAAAACACATTAAGTTTAGTTTAGTTTAGTTTGTCCATAATTCATTTTTGTTGTGCGACAAACACAAATAATATTAAAAACTTCGGGCACGTAAAATATGTTTAAACTCATATAAATTCCATTTAAAGTTCTGACTGTATTCATTTAGGTCCCATTGGCAACTTTCACCATAAATCCTTTCGCGATCAGAAGGCAAGGATGAAAAACTGCAATAGAACCCAGGGCTAATTCGGAGATAACTTTTCACTCGATTCGGCATTTGTTTGGGGACCCTGGAGAGCACTTGCATTCCATTTTCGGGAAAACTTTTTGCTAATGTTTCCCAGAGCTGATCGTATTATGTCTATTTACAACTTTCATTATTCGCTTCTGCAGCAAATGAAATTGCGAACCGAGTGCCTCTATAGTGAGCAATGGGACAATGGCGAAGGAGAGATACAAAGTGCCTGACAGAATCCAAAATAATGGGGCACAAAGCGTTAAACAAAAGGCGAAAAAAATAAGGCTGGGGAATGAAACAAAACCCAGGCTCTCGTCACAGTATAAGTTACTGCAAAAGTTTCATTTAAAACTGTCGAGCTGAGTCGCTGAAAGTTTTCAACCGACCCCCTGGCAGTTTGAAAGTTAAAAAAAATTTGTGTCCTCCAGAGACGGCAGAAAATGGGGAAAAGGAAAAGTCATCAAGTGCAATGTCAGAGCTTGACAAAATATGCAGCAGCAGCAGCAGCCCAGTTCAGGCTGTCAATGCGTGGCAAATCCGAGGGAAATGTGCCACAAAACTTTCGCCCGCCAACAATGGACGACGGCGAGGGAAACTGTCGAAATGTGGCAGAGGAAAAGCTTCAAGGTGATGCCTGCCGCGTAGCTTTTCCTTTTCTCAACCTTACTTTTTTTTAGGTTTTGGTTTTGTGGCTGCTGTCGGTGGTTAGTTTTAATTAGTGCCAAGGTCCGTCGTGGGTTAAGCACGTCACACTGATGGCCAGGCATTAAGTTGTAAGTGCCAGGGCGTGACCGGCTAACCAGGCTCCATCCTGCCGCCCACCTGCCACCCACCGAACCACCCAACCACCGCACCACCAGCACCCACTGATCCACCCATCGAAGGCCCGCCCGAACCCAAGTCCAAGTCCATGCATAATTAAAGACCGTCGTCTCATTAAAATTTCCATTAAAAAGCGGGTAGCCGCCCATACAAAGCCCCGTTCCAAGGATAAGTTAATCCCCAACACGGAGAAAAGATCGATGTGCTCTTGTAATAATAATTATATTGAACATATACTATTTGCTAAAAAAGAATAAAACTCAATTCATTTTACATAAATCTACACAAAACTCAAAGAAAAACGAACAATATTTTATGGATTCAGAAAACATTACTGCCCCAAAGGAACATCTATATAAAAAGAAATTAAAAACCAAAGACCAATGAGTCTTGGCATTATTATTTTTTATGCATTTTGACACCATATTTTTTTCCGTGTCGCCCTTTTTTGTTGAGCGAATCAAGGCCCATTGAATTGAACTATTGATGGGTCATCAATGTAGTGACATTTAAAACGACAGCTGTCACGTCAAACAAAAGTGGAGCACACCTACAGGACCTCCCACCACAGCGATTAATGAAATATGCATGACCGGGGTAATTATGTTTGATTAACACCCATATATATTTTCGTCTTAATTATGTCTTCTCTCTGTTTCAATTGTGTGCAATTCCCGTCTATTATTTTTTCGCTTTACAATTCGCTCCTTTTGTTTTCTTTTGATTTCCTGGTATTTGTCAAACATTTGCATAATATTTAATTTATTCGAAATTGAACGCGCAGAGAGTTCAAGCGGTGAAAAAACGGTATTCATAAATATTAAAATTAAATAAATATGTCAATGTTAAAGCAAATACAATAAATGTATTGTGTTGCATTTGCACCGAATATTCAAACTTATTGTTCAATTTCAAAATAGAACGGTTTATTAAACGGAGAGCTGATTAAATTGAAAATAGGAGAGGAATTTTAATTTGGGTCAACAAAACAAAGCCAATAAATCATCAGCTCTCAATTTAATTTAAATAAACTGAATTTTCTTAGGCAATTTGTCATGAAATTATATATTCATAGCATTTTGGTTTAGCTACAAAAAAAAGCACAACAATTTTAAGCAAACTCAGTTATGCTATATTATTTAGCAAAGAAACGATATTGCAAATAAGTCCTGACTTGAAATATAAATTGTTTATACCTTTTGTACAGAGTGTCTAAACTTAACAAGTAATTTCCGTTAAAATCTTATAAGCATATGCCAAAGGATTCAAAAGTTGAGCGTATTTTTAAATTAATGTACTTTTCGGATTTATTTATTTTTATAAAGTTTTAAACAACCCATCCAATTTGGGAAGCCTTTTGTGAGCAACTTTTTTTATCTTCCCGCTTTCGAGTTGCTCAAACACACACATATATACTCTTATTTATAGAATATTCGCATGTTTAAGTAAGCTTATGAATTTTTTGGGGGACTTAAGCTGATTTGGGGCAGACAATGTACAATGGGAGTCAAGGCAATGAAAAAGGTTAAGTACAACAAAAATAATTTATGTATTTGGGTATCTTTTGGGAGCAGAATGTTCAGAATGTTCAATTTTTCAGCTACAAGAAATGACCTTGTGAAAGCAAGAGGTAAATAAAATGTTTTATTTTTGAAGAAATGTTGTGCATAGGAAAGTAGCAATTTTACTCTTCGGAGAATATTAGTTACTTTTACTGAGCTTACAGAAGAAGGTGATGAAAAATCAAAGTAATCCCTTTGGCTAATCAAAAAGTTTTTCATTTTGCTCTCGTTACTCACAGAAATGGAAACAAAACATTATTTCGATTTTAAGAGAATTATAAAAAAAAGGTGAAGTGTTATATATTTTTGTAAAACATTTTAATAACCCTTTTGTATCAATATCTTGATCAAAAAGGAACTTTTTCATGACTTAGCGTATGATTTCCCACTTGACGCATAACTCAATGGCATTAAATAAATATGTCACACTCTGTTCATTATTAATCCTGATTAGCAGCCCCCATTAATTTCATTAGCATAGTCCAAAAATAATTGTTCCCCAATCCTTTCGCTTGTACCGGTCAATAAGTTCATCGGGTCCTGTGTGTTTAGGCACGTGTGTGCTCAGAGCAATTCTTGTCATTTTTATAATTAAATTGAGTCGACGATCCGAACCCATCGTCCAGCCACTTTCACCGACCAACCGCTGGCCACAACAAAGTGGAACAACAAAAATAAAACAACAAATAAATACAACAATGAACGGTGCCCTTGCCACCCGTTGCTTCCGCTTTTCCACCACCGGGAAAACCACGGCATCACCCACTCAACACCCCAGCACAAACAATGACACAATTGTGTGGGATTTTCCTGCGTTTTTTTTTTTTACCATTACACGATTATCGGTGTTAACTAGACAATAAAATAAGAAATTATCGGATAATTAGCTCAATAAAATTAATCGGGCTTACCTTTTTCTCGTATCTTGTCCTTTGTTCCTGTTCTGTGGTGGCTTTTGTTGATTGATTGAATTTTAATTGAATTTGGGCTTATTCAAAAGTTTCGGAACTCAAGCTTTATGAACCTTGAAATTTTGGCTGTTCTAATTTTCACGTTTTCGTATCTGCCAAAAAAAAAAGGGTCTTTAATGTCTGGTTTATCTCCACCCATCAAAGCCTGTTAACATTTTTTATTGGCCTCCTTTTTCATGTGTCGGATATCTCAGCCGTGTGATTCGCGTATTTAAACCATTTCTCGCCCTTTTTCCCATTTTATGCAAATATTCTGGTTAAGCAGAATGCGACCCTAATTTATGGGCCCAAAGGGAGCTAACAACGAAAAAAAAACAAGTTCAAAAGCAAAAGTTCAAAAAAGGGAAAAACGTAAATTTTACCCCGAAATTTAAAAAGGAAGACCGAGTGTTTCTCATAATTATTTCTTAAATTCTCGGGGCACTTTAAAAGTTTTATTCCTGCGTGACCTTGGCGGTCTTAAATAAACTGAAAACAAAGTTGAACAATATTTTTGGTGTGCGTTCGCTGCCCCTATATATAAATATTCCACATCCGCCGTGTGGCCTTGACAGGTGAAAATAGAGTTGAAGGATCGGCTGGGGCAGGTGTGTGGTTTTCTAAAATTAGTCTGGTTCCTTTTTTTAGGTTAGCGTTTCAGTTTGATATTTGAATATTCAAGGATCGCTGGCACTTTCGCACACTTTCTTTATGGATTGCGTTTCACTTAAGTGTTGCATATTTGATTTTGCATCCTGGCACGCAGGTCTACATTATTATTTCGCAGTATTTGTAATTCTTTTTTTGCTGCTTTTTTCACATTGCGTGCCTATATCTCACATTGGCTCATTTATTATTTACCGTTATTGCACATTGGACAACTTTTACTTTCGACTACCGCACCCGTGTCCGTGTCGGTGTCCGTGGTTGTGTATGTGTGTGTGGGCCAACTTGTGCGTGTGTGAGTGGCGTATTGAGGTTGTCCTCCGAACAGGACCTTCCTCCGCTTTTCACCGTTAGAACGAACCGAACGAGACGACTGCACTGAATACACTGAAAGCCACACGAACGGCGTCGGCTTGAAAAGCCTGGCGACCAGCCAAAGCTCCCGATTTCCCCTCTCCCTTTTCGCGAGAGAGCGAGCTTTGGCGCCTAGCACAGTGGGGCAAAAGTGCACCATCCTGTCTGCTCCCTTCCAGTTGGACTTCTCGCTCTCTAACGGCACTTTCGAACTTCCCAAAAGTTGTTGGGGTACTCTCTTTGCTTGCGTTCTCTTTAGGCCAGCAATTTGTGGCCCTTTGTTGACATCCTTACAATGCCACAGCTCTTTGGCCCGCTTTAAAGAATTCACCACCCCCCGGCCGAGGTATTTTCGGCACTTTAAAGATGCTGCCATAAAAAGCATATAAAAATCAGTAAATTCAACGTATTAAATATCAACAGTATTAACGTTTTACGAATAAGATTTTAATGGTTAAATTTATAAAAAAAAAACTTCCAATATATTTATCTTTAGTACCACAATTAAACCATTTAGGGAAGGCAGATCATTTACTTTCGAGAGCAAAGGTCACACACCATAATTTAAATGTCACCTTTTTCCAAGTGAAATACAAACTCTTAAAGGTCATTGTTATCCAAGTGTTAAATAGAAATTTAACACTTTTTGTGTGTTTGATTACAAAGGAAATGTAAAAGTCAATTCAAATGATAACCAACCTAACCAACAATAAAAAATATATATATATAATGAAAGGTATATACATAGTTACATATACTTTAAAGGTGGGAGGATACCGAAGAAAGGAGTAAGAAAGCTCAAATAGGCAGCTTCAGACACTTGGCCTTCTTAAGCACTTAGTGCACATTAAGTGCCTGGGATTCGGATTGTTTGCTGCCCAGTCGCTTGGCCCCATGCCCAATCCACTGCACTCCCCTTTTAGGATCCGAAAGCCCCTTTTTATCCTTCAACTGCTTTTCAGTCTGCTTCAAAGTTAACTGACACTTACACTTGCACTTCTGTGAAATCAAATGCATTCGCCTTTGGTTCGGTTTGCATTTGGATTCCCTTTTTGTTCAAGCTACTACCACTTTTAAGAGGCGGAAAAACGCTTTTCAAGTTAACGGACTTTGAAAGACTGGCAACCATTTAAGGAATGGTTAAAAATGTTTCCATGAGATAAATGTCTTATAATGAGAATCAGTGCAAAATGTACCAATTAATTACCAACAAGTTAAGATATCAATAAACATTTTATTTTTAAAACCTTTTAAGCACAATAAATAAAGACACCGCTCGTAGTTTTTTACCAACCCCATTCCTCGCATTTTATGTTTCCTTTTTAGCACTTGTACATAAGTCGAATCTTGGTCCAATCGCCCTCCGAAGGTCCTCGCACCTGGCCCATTTCCCTCTCCACTTCCTGGCCATCGATTAAAGCACGGATAGTTGGCTTTGAGGGATCCTTGGCAAAGGCGTTTTTCGAGTAGTGCATAACGCTCTCATAATCGTAGGGAACATCGAACGTGGTGGTCTGATCCATGGCCATAAACTGCGACCAGTATTTTCTCGGGATATTGTCATAGTCTATTTTCACGTACTCATCTCGATCCGGACGACTTTGCTCGTGGAAAAGTCCCAAAAGATGGAGAGTTTCGTGCTGGATTACAGCTGGCATAGTGAGGCACCTCTCATTAAGGACGACTTCGTGCGGGCCAAAGGATAAGGGTTGATAGCCTACTCTAGTTCCACACATATTAGGGGATTTCTTGAAGGACACATATCTTTTTCCGGACGGAGGAGATCCTTCGATTTCCTCGAACTGCACACAGGTTTGCTCACCAAAACTCGTCATTGCCGTTCGGACATTGGCCACCTCCTGATCGCTATAGTCTCCAGATATCCGGTAGTATATCTTGTTGCCAGGCCAACGTTGAAGTGGAGATGTCAATGCATTTCTGGTCTTGGCCTCCGCCTGTTCATCATCCACGTGGATCTCATTGTAGTAGTTCTCGTAGGTCTCGATTCCTTGAGAAGTCACCAGAATGGGTTCCAAAACCCCCACCAAAAATAGAAACCAAACTGTTTGAAGCAACATTTCGTTGGTTTGTGATCAAAAACAAACCGCAAAGGCTCTTTTATAGTCGTTTCGTTAAAATGTAGTTATCAGTTTTATTTCTGTTCGAAAATATTCTTTAAATTTAGTTTTTACATACATACACACAGGCAATTAATAGATAGGCATAACAAACACATTCTTCTGCAAAAACTTTAAACACTGTGCAACAAGCAAACCTTTAATTTTGTACAATCGTGTTGGATAAAAAAATTTGACGTACATTTGGAAAAATATTACATATTTAAATTTAAAAGCGTTGGTTCTTTTTCCTTTTAAATAAATTTCATTAGCAAACTCAGTTAAACCAAACCCAAATAATTCGTAAAATGTTGTTGCACAATGTAGTTAGCCAAATTCCACTCTATTCGCTTATAGACTTATATGGCTAATGTTGCAAGTTAGCATTTGCATGACTTAGCATAGATATATAATACATATGCGTTTCTGTAATTTATGCACATCAAACTGCATTTCAGAACACATTGGTGGCTATTAAAGTTATTGTGGTTTATTTAAGCCCCTCTAAAAGGTAAACTTTTTAATATATACTAAAATTCGATGTAGGTTACTTGTAATACAGAAAATTGTCAAATGCTTAATATGAGCACATCAATTTTATTAGATTTTATTTTAAAGCAAATATTTGCCAGCCACCAATGTGTTTTGGAAAGCATGTCGATGCCCCTTTTGCAGTTAAAAATCCTTCGATAAGCAAAGTCGCCGGCAAATCATGCACTACTTCCATAGCCCCATTACTGAGATTAGAATACGCAAATATATACACGTATGCATACGGAGATATCGTATATTAAGGTCTTGCATTTGGGTTCTTTTGTTAGTGCTGTGTTGCTTTGGGTTTAGTAATATTTAGCTCCAGGAATAAGCCAATAGTTGATTATTGTTGTTAATTACAGTTTGTATATTTCCAAAACATCGTTTTCTCGTTTATAAACAAACGCATCACTTAGATGTGACTTGTGGGTGGTGGCCGTTTTTTTTTTTTTTTGCTTCTTTTTTTTTTTTTGTTGTTTTAGGTATTCTGGTTTTTGGATTTTCCGTGGCTTGGGTGTGATTGCAACAGCATTGAGGAGTTGTCGGCTTGGTGCCACATAATTAAAGTTAGGCTGCGCAATCAGGCCCAGGCTTTTGGTCATATAGTACAAGTACATACAATATTATTTTAATCATAAGTCATACAAAATAGAGTAGCAAGAACACATAGTTTTAAAGAAAGTTTCAACACATTTCGCAAGCAAAATTCAAAGACAGCAAATCATCTCTCTTCCAGAACTTTTCAATACGTTGCTTCGGTCGTCAGCTTTCGTCTGTTTTTCCATTTGTTGGCTTCTGTTTTGTTATCGTTGTCAGTAGTAGTAGTTATCGTCCTGATCCGTCGATTCAGGCACTTCGCTTGCTAACATCACAAATCAGTTTCCGGTCGTTAGTAACGATCTCGTAAATATATATATTCACTCCCATCTTCATTCATCGTTTCGCATTCAGCATAGTTTCGAACTCTCTCTCCATCTCTAAATATACAGTAGACGATAGTCATAGTAGTAGTAGTAGTAGGTATCGTTTAATGGATGGCGGGCGGGCAGGCGGTTGATCGATTGCACCAGCGAGGGATCCGGTGAGCGGTTGAGTGAATTGAGTGCTTGACTCTCGTCCAGTCCTCTTCATCCCGGTCCTCGTCTCTAGTGCAGCTCGATGAACTCGTACAGGGTGGCTGGCACGGTTCCCTGGTAGCGGATGTCGTGCTTCTTGATCGTCCTGGCAGCCAGACACGCCAGCGTCGTGTACTTCATCGGGTCAATGATCTTATGCATAGGCGTGGGTGCCAACAGACTCTCAAACGTCTCGCCAGCGTAGTTTTTGGTGTCCTAAGAGAACAGATTCTCATTAGTAAGATATATTGGAGTAGGTACAGATACGATACTCACCAAATGCGCTCCGCCCTCGAGAAGGATGTGCGACAGGGGCTCCACGTATGGCTGCATGGTGGCCAAATGGAGCGGGGTGTTGCCCGCCTCGTCGATGGCATTCGGATCGGCTCCCACTTCAAGCAGAGCCTTCGCCAACGTCACCGAGGGAAACTGGCAGGAGGGATAGCGACCGGCCAGCGTTCCTTCGCGATAGCAGGCGTAGTGCAGAGCAGTCCGATCGAACCGAACACGAACCTTCAGGCGATTCAGCCTGAACAACGCTCCCATCACCTGGCGACGCATCTCCGGATTGAGGGCATCCGTGTCCAGCAGCGAGCTGAGCAGACAGCCTATGTGAATGGCACTTATCATGGTGCGACTCAGGGCATTCGGATCGTGGTTACAATCGTGCTGATGCGCCGAAAGCAGCGTCGTTGAGGAGGAGGAGGAAGCGGACGATGACGATGACGTGGATGAGGAGGAGGAGGCCGAGCAGGATGGCGACTTGTCAGCTGCCGGCAGCTGCTTCTGCGGTTGCTGCTGGTCCTTCTGCTGCTCCAGCGTGAAGGCCTGACCCCGTTCCACCTCCTTGACCGCCTTGTAGAAGATGGTCAGCATGCCGTCCGCCTCGATGGGCGGCACAACGCGACCCCGCGGCAAAAGGCGACCCGCCTCCACCAGCATGAAGCTGAACAACTCGGCGAAGGAGAGCAGCGACGATTGGGTCATCGGACTCAGGGGCTGCAGGATCTTCTGCTGCATGGTGAGGGCATAGGACCAGAGCTCGATGCAGCGGTCAAAGCGTCCAGCGTCCGCATAGTGGGCTCCCCTAAAAATAAGGAATTTATTAGTAAGAAATTGTAATACAAAATACATTATTTAACTACAGTTGAGGTAAGGTCTCATTGCTTTTTGATGCCCCTTTAAGGGGCACAACTAGTGTGACGGCCTAAAAAAATGGTGATGTTTGGGAATTTTTATAAAAAAAACTACTTGATCAATTCTTTTCAAATTTTTAGAATATATTTATACATGTTTTAAGAATGTATAGTGAAATTTTTAAAGAAAAAAGTTAAATATTTTTTAAGTTATAGTCGATCTCCAACGGCGCTAAAAAAAAAAGTGCCTCAACTGCTGCAGTGATTCCGGCCCTCTCCGTGGACGAAATCAAAAAATGAAAAATTCTCGTGAAACTAGATAATATTTTTCATACCATGAACTACGATAAAAAAAAATATCAAAAAATGACAAAATGGCAGCGTTTAAAAAAAAAAATCGAATTTTAACCAAAATTTCGGTCGTTTTTGGCCTGCCAAAATTCGATTTTTGATCGGATCAAAAAACCGATAGTTCATGGTACGTAGAACTATATAAAGAAAATGTAAAAAAAAATTTGTAGTGATCGGATCATTAGTTTTTGAGTTATCACTGCAGCAAATTCGGAAAATGCTGTTTCGAGAAAAACGCGTTTAAAGATAAAATGATCGCTTGCACTGCTATGAGAGCGGCTGCTCTTAAAATTGCTATAACTCAAAAACTATTTGAGATATCGATTTTAAATTTTAATATGTTATTTTTAAAGGTGTAATCCACCGAAATATGAAAAAAAAAATTTTTTGATTTTTTTAAAACTGCACACTAGTTGTGCCCCTTAAGGCCAGGTTCCTCTGAAAAACGTACTTTTTTCAATTAATTTTATTTTCATAACAAAAAATATTGAGTATTCAATTCTTTTTATATATGAAAGTATGTATATGAAATTACTAAAAAAAATTTTTTAAATTTTTTTTTCAAAATGGCGGTCCTGAAAATGGCTGCTGAAACTCGTCCGATTCGTAGATGGATGACACGATTACTTGAAAAATAATTATCTGAATGCAATAACCAAAATAGTTTCGTGTTCTGCATCGAAGTAGCTATGGCCGGTACCAGAATGAAACATTTTCCATGAAAAATAAAAAAATGGCGGACTTTTGAATTTTTTTAACCCTTTTTTTCACTTATAATTGTTTATAACTTTTTTAAAAAATAATGAATATTTCTGATTCTGGTACCGGCCATAGCCAGACATATTAAGAGTAAAATTCCGTTTGGTTCAAATCGATAAGTGCAATAGTTTTGAAATGAGAGTGTCATCCATGCGAAAAAACGTGGTTCGGAGAAAAATCAGTTTAAAGTTTTTAAGGCGTTCGAGCGGCCGTACTACCAGCAGCGCTCCTCACTCTTTTACACCTACTTCTCGGCCTTGCTGACCTTCGGGACTTATTTTATACTATTTCGACAAGTATATAGTAGCAATTTATGAAAAAAAAAATTTTCATTTTTTCAAAATTGTTGAGAGGAACCTGGCCTTAACTCACCTGAATCTAATGTAGTAGCTGGTGTCCGGATGCGTGGGTCCCAGGATGCGCTGCCTAATGACCAAGGCCTGCATTCGCATCTCGTCGGGATCCAGCACCATCTCCTCCAGCTCCTCCACGCTGGTCACCTCCCTGACCATCTCGTACGCCGGCACTGGTTCCTGCACCTTCTTCTCCAGCGGCGGTTCCACGGCCCGTTCCTCGAGTGCCCTTCGCCACAGCGTGAGTGCCGCGGCCATGTCCCTCTTGCGATCCACATAGGTGGCACCTAGCAGCTCCAAGGCGTGAATCCTCGACTCCCTGCTCACGCAGGGCAATGTGATCAGGTGCTCGACGATGGGCATGTGACCGGTGACACTGGCCGCCAGCAGCGGAGTCATCCCGTAGTAGTCCACGTCCATGGTGGCGCCGTGCTTGAGCAGCAGCTGCAGGATCTGCAAGGATCCCGACTCGGCGCAATCGTGCAACGCCGTGTTGCCCTTCACGCTGCACCGGTTGACGTCCGCGTTCAGGGAGAGCAGATACTGGGCGATGCGGAAGTGACCCTTGTAGCAGGCGATCATCAGGCAGGTGTGGCCGTGTCGGTTCGCCACTTCAAAGTCTGCGGAGCAAGGCAAAGCAATTAGCACGTATCCAAACAGTGAGTTATGAGCAGTAAAATGCAAAGCTTAAAACCAGTTTCGTTTATGGTTTTTATATTAATAATAATTAAATACAAGAAAAAGTAGAAGTAGGTTGACAAAATAGTGTCAGCCAAACAGGAATATAAATGAATATAAATTGCTGATTTAACCATGATGTTCTAAGGTGACTGGACAGATTTGCCAAAACTAGATTTTTTGTTCTATTTTATGACAGAATTAAATCAATTCAAAATTGGGGATAAACAATTATAAATTTAAATAATTATATTATATAATATTTTATATAATACATATTTATATATTTATATTTTTTATGGAATATTACTGCCTTTATATCAAATTTCAAGAAAATACTGTCAATTTAATGAGATTTACAATAACAAATAAACTAAATTTATAGTCATAATATATATTTTTTCTGTATAAAAAAGTTACTTTTTATAGTGATCGATCTGGTTTAATGACTTGTATTTTCAATAATTTCACTCACCCGCTCCATGGTGCACCAAGTACTTGACGATCTCGTAGTGTCCATCGAAACAGGCAGCCCTCAGTGGTGTGGAGTTCGTCCTGGTGGTGCTGTTCACATTCGCCCCCCGGCGGACGAGCATCTTGACGATGCCCAAGTGACCGGCGGCCGCTGCGCACCACAGCGGTGGGGCATCCTCGATGGGCTCCCCGTCAAAGCTGACCGACCCCACCTGCTCCACGTTAGCGCGACACTTTGTCAATAGGTATTCTACAATGTCGTAGTGTCCGTTGCGGCAGGAGATGACCAGCGGGGTGGCCCCGTTCACTTTCGCCGAGATCAGGCTGCCCACTTCGCCGGAACTTTTGTTGTAAAGGGTGGCCTGCAAACGGAAAAATCGGGAAGTATCTGGGTTAGCTTTGTGCTGATCTGGGGCATTAAAATTAACAGCAAAAGAGAGCAAATTGTTATCAGCAAATCCATTCATTCTTAAAGGGAAATAGTCCACTCTAAAGTGCATTATGTATTGAAAGTGGTTCAAAGTCATAACTCTGATAACCTTTGCTGTTTCCTCTAAAAATAGGTATGGGTTTATAATTTTTTCATATTTGTTGACATGTCATGTTTGTTTTTATTCTTTAGCTATTAGCTTTTTGAAACCTAAGACTGATAAACATGCTTTAAGAACGTGTTTTATTTTAGTTATAAGCAATGAAAATAATTCATTATTACAAGAGAAATTCAGTGGGTCTAAAATGTTTTCTGTCAAATTCTTCTTACTGTCTTTTTGTTTTGTATTGAATGGTTAGTCAACAGCGTTTTATTTCGTAGGGGAGAGTGGTCCCATACCGACCGGTCGTACCATACCGACCCCCCCCATGTTTCTCAGAGATGGCGATGCTAGCCGAATTGTCGGTAACTTCAGTGAAAAGCTGTTATAACACAGACATTTTGGAGATAGATAGCCAATTTGATTTCTTTTGTTTCACTGCAATTTTTCCGTTTGTTTTGTTTCAACGCCTCTGACATTCAGTTTTTTTTCTTTTCTGAACTTGAGCTAAAATATTTTTAAAATTTTTTTTCTGCGCATAAAAATCGGAGGGTAAGGTTTTCTGATAGTTGATAGTCCTATCTGTCATTTACGCTATTAGAATTACATCGCTCTTTGCGTCATTAGATAATGGCGAGCAGTTAATTAGAAAAGGTTGTGGTGGTCCGAAACCGACCGCGAAGTGATGGTCCGAAACCGACCCCCATTTATTGGCAGCTTAATATGTCATAGCGTATTTTTGAGGGAAAATATGAAAAAGTAAACAAGATTCAGTAAAGAAAAGTAACAGAAACAGCAAAAACATCAGACAGCAAGCGAAGAGACAGACATCAACGAGCGGCTTTTGAAAAACAACGCGAAAACAACGCGAAAACTTACTATGAGAAAGAGGACAACTCAGACTTCATCAATTGACTACAGTGCCCTTTATTTCATACATTAATTTTTATTTTCTGGAAAGAACCTTCAATATATTTCTTAATAAACGTCAAAATCATTAAATTCTATTTTATGTTATTAAATTGCTTCTGTTAAGAAATAGGGGGTCGGTTTCGGACCACTACTTTTGAGTACGACCAAAAAGTAGAGTTTTATATTTGCCTGAATATCTAACGCTTCAAAGCACCTACGCACATGCTAATCAATTAGATGTATAGTAAACTGATCCCTCTACATAGTAAATTTTTGAACTGAACTGAAAAATTGATTTTTCTCACCTTTATCGCCTTTGCCTTTTAGGGGGTCGGTATGGGACCACCCTCCCCTAATATGTATAACTTTTAAGAAGTTGATAATAAAGTCTTATCAAAGTGCCTGATATCAGCCACTTCCATTTCATTTGAATATGTTTTTCCCCCTTTACTGATCCAAATCGCAAAGAAATTCCAATTAGGAACCACTTTTTTAAATCAATAAAAACAACGATAATAATATATAATTGCTTTCAAACAAACTGATGACGAACAAAGCGAATTGCTGACAGAGCGTGAATAAAAACTCAGGCCACACGAGCAAGAGATAACAAAATAACAAATGGGTACGACTATCAGAGAGAGAGAGAGAGTGAAAGAGAAAGACAACCGGAGAGATATAGTCAGAAATCAGCTGGGGAATATCGCGTCTCTCTTTACATTTGCCTGGGGGGCTGACGGTTTTATTGTTAGCTCTTTTTACCTCCCATGCGAATTCGAAATTGAAATTCATTTATGTCAAACGTGTTTCATTTTCGCTTTATAGTATGCTAATTATGTTGTTCGCCAGCGCGTGCACGGGTGGTGGAATGGAGGGGGAGGGGATGGGTGGGAGGTAGGGGGCGGTGGGGTCGGTCGCCAGATTGGCTATAGAGAATAGATTAGAGCTACAAAGGAATCGACAGCCATTTACATTTTATTTTTCTAAGCATATTCAACTCATTTACATGCTTATACGCAGAAAAAAAATGTATTAAGAATATAATAATCATTTCAAATTTAGAATCCAAAGTATTTCTTCACCAATGTAAAAATTTTAAGCTTGACAACCAAATTTGCATTAAACCCACCGGCATCATCACCCGTTATGTTAATTTTTCTAGAAAATGATTTGCTACGCCAACCTTTTATTTTTATAGAAAATTGATTTTTTTCCTTTACAATTTCTGTGTATCAGTTTTCTTTGTAAGCACAAGTTAAATGTGAGGAAGTGAACTTTATAAGGAGGAAACCTTGACTACACAACATCAATCTGGCGAGACAAAGGAATTTTCCGCACCTATCAAACTCAATTTGAGCAGTCGTCCATATGTTTGTGTCACCTAAAAGACCCCCTGATCCCACCACCTCAATCGGCGCCCCTGTTATTTTAGAACCAGAAACGAGATAAGCACAAAAAAAGAGAAGCCACGATAGAAGATGCGAGCCAAAAAAAATAGGAGGGTTTGGGGACAGGAAAAGACCTTGTGAACGCGGCTCTTTTTCGCTACAGTCCAACCTGTAAAGTTTGCCATATAGTATTCAAAGATTGAAAACAAAAGAATAAATATAACACCCCCTGCAAGGGTAAGCGAAATTTAAATAACATGATTATAGCTCATATTATGCAACACATAAATGAATAAAATGGAAGGTAAAGATCAACGACTTGATTAAACGAAAACATTTGAATCAAAACAACAAAAATATAGAAATTTTAATACATTCAAAATGCCCACAGTAATTCTTTTCCTCTCTGTTTTTCTGGTAATTTCCGCCAAAAGAAATCGCTTCCTATTTTTTTTCGAAGAGAATCTTCTCTTGGTCAATTCGCATGGTCTCGATATTATGGCCATCGTCACTAGACAGCCGAATTCTTTGTCTCGACCCACCTCATCCCCCGCCCCAAAAAAAAAAAATCAGCAATCATCGCCTCGTGCGCGTGACAAGGAAAAAATAACATTAAAACCGAAATAAAAACAAAAAGCAAGAGAAAGCAGTCGAAATAGAAATAAAGAAACATTTTTGGCAAGACTATTAGGCGGAAAGCGTATTTTGAAAATAAAGATTATTGGGAAGCCTTTTCGGCACAACAAGTGCAAGCGCAAACAGCAAACAAATCGAACAATGAAAATTACGCATTAATTTTGCATTTAACTCGGTGCGAAAGCAAAAGCAGATATATAGGTACATATATGCTTATGATCCATTTAAATGGCTACTGAACTTTTGCTTTCGCACCCGAAGGGGAAAAATTGATCATCACCAGCTGTTTGTTTCTTTTCCGCCTTCTGATCAATTATGATTAAAGCTATGACAGTCATGAATCAGCATCGTGTCTGACTGATATGGGAATAAAAAATGAGCTAATATCGGTAGAACAGGAAAAAATTATCTAAAGACAATCTACACAACATGACACGATTCCCAAGAAATAAAAGTGTTTTGATCAAATCTTTTTGTTTTACAGGAAATAGATTGTTCCTCATTCTTCAAAACATTTCTTATCAATTATTGTTCAACCAATTATCATTACATTTTTAAATGTGTACTGTAAATACCCTAAATATATGATTATCAACATTTTTACTGAACTTTTTACACTTTAAGCGGACTTAATTATATTGTTTACCTTTGAAGTTCAATCAGGACTGACCCTTGAAAATGACTTGAATTTAGTCCAGTGTCATTCAAATTACTCATGCTGTTGTATCACCGATTTTCCCTTTTCGTTTTTCCTCCCTCTTTCCGTATATCTTCCTTTTAGCCATTATTTAACCTTGTTACTCAGCCCCGAAGCCGAAAAAGCTTCAAACGAAATGAAAAGTCAATCTGACAATCGGAGAGGGCGGCCTTTGTGGCACGAAAAACCAGCGGCACGTGAATTGTGGGCGAATCAAAGGGGTTGGGGGCAGGTGGCTCAGGGGGTGGTGGGGTTAGTGGGTGGTTGCGGATATGGTGGCAGTGGGGAAAATCAATCAATTGTGTTCAGGTCGGCCGGCATTATGCTACAATAGATGTGACCCCGCTGATATTGGTTCAGTGGCCTTATTGCCACGAAAGAAAAAACGGAAATTCAATCAAGAAATTGAACCAAATTATGGGAAATTCTTCACTTGCCAAATGTTTTATTTCGTTTAATTATAATAAGTAGGTAATGGTTGAATTATAGAATAACAAGCCACTGTGGGAAAGACCGCTCGACATTTCAACCTAGAAAATAAACATGTAAACAATAATTGAAGCTGCATTTCTAATTTGAATATCACTTATACAAAGGTTCTCCATTTGCAAGAATCGAAAGGCAGTGTTCATGAATATTTATTGGAAGAAAACATGTCTAATTCAACAGTAAATAATTTACTTTGTAATAAAAATCCATTAGGTTTGCCAGTTTTATTTGCATGAGTATTAAACCGACATTCTTCAATATGCACTCAAGCACTAATCCAATATTTATATTTGCCCCAATCCAAAAGTAACTATTAAGTTTTGACACATGCAAGTAAGTTAAATTCAAACAAGGTTTACAGTTTGCAATCAATACATAACAATTACTAAATTTGCACTTGCTGTTTTACTTCAACAAATAATTCCACAAAAACGCATTCTCCTCAGAATTTCTTGTTTGTTTTTCCATTTAATTTCGATTCATTTGCCAAGACTCACCGAAAATCCCCAAAACGCGAAAAGTTCCCCCGCAAAGAATCTGAATGAATAGCACACAACAAATACGCTAAAAGTCTGAATGCAACGGGTTCAGATAATTTATGATTTTAAATTCATATAATTTACCTTGCGCCGGAAAACAAGAGAAATTTCACTTCCACAAAAAGTGAAAATATATTTCTTTTTAATTTGTTGACTGTTCCTAGCTTGTAT